CTTGGACTTCAAATAGAGCGCCAGGTGTCATGAGTGGGCAGTTTTAAAAAAACGTAGTTTGGCCCGACGAGTTATTTTTATACTAACCACACACAAGAAAGCATCGGATAGAAATTCAAGGTCAATCGTTATAACATGTCGTGCAGTGTGAGCGAGAGTGTTTGGGAAGAGTGGTTATGTTTCAGTCTCGGTGGTATGTGGTAGATCGCATGAGTGTTCGAACTGGACAGACAAAGAAAGACGTGATTTTGTTTTCGGAAGCAGAGAACAGGGCACGACCAGGGAAAGACAAAGAAAAAAGACGACGGAGTGAGAGAGAGGCAGAAAAAAAGAGAGCAAGAAAGAGAGAGAGAGACAAAGAAAGAGAGAGCGAGAGGGATACAGGGATACGGCGCAGAATGAGACAGAGAGAGAGAGAGAGAGAGAGAGAGAGAGAGAGAGAGAGAGAGAGAGAGAGAGAGTGAGAGAGAGGGAGAGAGAGGGAGAGAAGAGAGATAGATAGATAGATAGATAGATAGATAGATAGATAGATAGATAGATAGATAGATAGATAGATAGATAGATAGACACACACACACACACACACACACACACACACACACACACACACACACACACACACACAGATAGAGAGAGAGAGAGAGAGAGAGAGAGAGAGAGAGAGAGAGAGAGAGAGAGAGAGAAGAGTAGCACAGAGACACAGAGAGAGACAGCTAAAAAGAGAACCATTCGGTTCCATGAAGTGTACACAAGAGACTATCACCTTTACCTCACTTCATTTCCTTAAAAGGTGAAGTAAGCAGAGCTTACCAAAAACCATTCTCCACATGAGTCATTCGGATGCTGGGTGCTCTATCAACCTGGGTGCTTTTTCCAATTCACATTCGAAGAATACAGAAGGAAAATGTCATTAATCACAATTTTCCACTTGTCTGTTTTGATTTATTGTCTGGCTTGTTCAATTTTGTCTTTCAATACCATTTTACCAGAAACTGCTGTAGTCAAGTACTACATTTTGTGACATTACTGATACAGTTTTGCTTGGAAAGAATATCAGTTGTTCATATCAAAACATGAATAAAACCCCCTGCAGTCCTCGATATATTTTTTGTGACTAATGTTGTTTTCTCATCAGGTCTGCATTTGCTTTTAAGTCTGTACTCGTCAGATTTGTACGGGTGTATGCACATCTGTGTCTGTCTTTGCAAACATCATATATTATGATAATCCCGAGAAAGAAGTTATTTCTGGGTCCGAGTGGACCTGCCTCTCCCCTTTCCTACCTCCCTACCCCCCCTCAAACACCTTCTTTCCCCCTTCCCTTCCCATATCCTCCCTTATACACCCCCATCCCCCTGTTCTGTTTATATTTTCAATTAATCAGATTTTGAACAAAATGTTACACAACAGCGGTAGTTAATTACATTTCAAACAAGAACAATCATTTGTCAAGGAAAGCTCCACTTTTCCTTTTTGGCCCATAATACGTCTGTCATTCACAGTGAGATCACATCGTCTCGTCTCCGTGCATCATTAGAGACGTGAGACTTTTTGCATTCAAATTCTCAAGCACAGAAACGTCAATACGGAGTGATCCATTACAAAAATGTATTGGGTCGCCCGACAATTGTATGCGAGTGGACCTCTGTGTTGATTTATTGGAATGTGCAAAAGGAATCTGTGCTGCTCTCAGCACGTGTGTGCGTGATGACCAGCTGTTGAAAGGGAAAGGTTGGTTTGCGGGTG